AAACCAGATGTATGGAATAATAATATTTTTGTTAGTTCATGAAATGCCAACTTACATTGTTGTGCTTCCTGGAGTTCCTCCTCTCCTGCTTTTTTTTTTCCTTTCGGTACTGCGTGGAGGCCTGTGATTGGGTGACGTTGGGATCAGGGGCCGTGGCCTGATTGGCCGCGCATCACTTATTCTCATTTCTCCCTGTGTCAGTCGCATGTCGCCCGTCTCCCAGGGTCGATGGTGGGGACATGACGTCCATCTGAAGAGACTGGGCGGTTAGGTTTGTAGATGTATCCTGGTCGGAAAGACGCATTCAGCTTCAATCGGAAGATGGTGCCAATCGTTACTTAAGGAATTCAGAATTTCGTACATGATGTGCTTTTGGCTGGATGTGGATGAGGTTCTCAGGGTTATTTTTATATATTTTTTTCTCCCTCAAGTCAATTCACCTTTCTGTAAAGAAACATTTTTGGTCGTGGCTTTTCCAGCATTTTCAATAATAGCCTATTTGTGTGTTCATATGGGTATCCATATCCATTTGACGCGAATCAGCCCTTCTCGTTGATAAGCTAATGGTGTTTGGTTTGAGCTGCACTTCCGTTTCACAGGGACGGAACTCTTACATAAGTTGTGTCTGGAGTTGATAAGAGTGACATAATCCTTGTATAGCGGTCGTTCCCCTACTTCCACATGAAAGCTTTCGATTCACATCATTGGATGACGATTTGTACCAGTCTAAGCTGGTGATATGGGTTTCTGTTTTCTTGTTGAGGCCTCGATTCTGATTGAAGTCCATGTTTTTCGTTTTGGCAGTTGTTGGGTTGGACTTGGACGCTTTTCGTGATGGGGGCGAGCCTTGCTTTTCCGGCCTGCATGGATTGCCAGAAGCTATTCAATCGAGCTCAGCTCGCCGAGTGTCCGATGGAATACTCGGACTGTGGGAACTGCTTGCCCGGGTGAGTTTCTTTTTTTGAAGGTGCTGAAGTGCACTGGCGAGGGAGAAGGTTTTTTAAAGAGCTTTCTTGATTTTTCGCAGGTTCGAGGCAGAAGAACACACTAACGGGAGATGGTCGGAGGTGTGCCAGCAGAGTGCAGTCAACCTTAGTCCACCAATTGATCAAGGTTTGCCTTTAAGATACAGCGTGGAAAGAATAAATTGTTGAACATTTTCGAAGCCTTGCTATTGTTTTACGGTTCCCCATTGGCAGTGTGCGCAGCCTTTGAATGTTTTACTGAGCATTGTTGGATAATTTTAGCTAGAGGCTTTTGCCTTGAAGACTCATTTATAAGCAGAACGGGGCAAACTTGAAATAACACAGATAGCAGTACTTTTCTAGAATTTTTGCGCATTCTCGTCCTGAAATATTGAGGGACATATTTTGTCGGAGGACGCAATTCAGTTATTGCACTCATGGGTTTGCTGGAGATGGCAGATTGGCTGTCTGTACGGTTAAAAAAAAACTCTTTACCGTTTCCTATAGCATCTGAATAAGTATTAAGGATTTTCACTTATATTAATTGCATCAATATGAATATTATGGTTTATGGCGATACCTTCACCTTTAAAGAGTAAATCCTTCATAGCGTTTGCAAATAATTTCTCCAGTTTAGCAGCTGATGTTCAGTGAATCAGTGAGTATTTCATCGTCCCACCCGTTTATTGCAATTGCATGCTTCGCATACATCATGCAATTCGTTTTTGAAGTGCGCATTTATTTAAATCTATATGTGCTTGCTATTGTTAACCGAACCTGGATGTTTGAATTTGATTTCTTGCCCGTAGGAAACTTCCCCAGTTCCAACCCAGGTGGCCATCCCATGTCATGGATGTCCATTAGCGCAATCTTGATTGTAAGTGTAGCTGTGATCGTATTCGCTGTGGTAATGCTCACCCGACGTGCTTTCAGTGAGTAACTTCGCTTCTGTCCCCCATGGGAAAGTGAGGTCATGGTTGTATAAAAGGTTTTCTCATGACAGGTTTCCGTCCCGAGCTCCCATCTCAGCTTCCGAAGAGTCAGGACCTTGGCCCGGGGAATGGGCACTTGTCCTCCAATTCCTTGCTCACCCCGGTCGGTCAGTCTTGCCGGGAGTCCACCGTCTTTGATGATAGTGAGTTTTTGTTCCGGGGATCTTTCAAGACAGTGAACTTCATACTTTTTAATGCATTTCTTTTTTTTTTCCCCCTTTACAGGTGCTGATGCCCCGGAAGTAGTGGATGCGTCAGTGGGGCACTATTCCTTCCATCATAAGAGTCCAGAGATAGATAGGTTGGTGGGTGCAGTACCCCTGGACGATACGTTGGACTTGGCTAGGCAGCATCTGTAAGAGGCTCTTGCTTGTTTTCCTTAACTGCATTTTTTACAGTTGTTCTTGGAGACCTTAAACCTTAAATATCATTATTCCTAATGAAAGTAATCAAATTCCAAATGCATTGTTATCTTGGAATTGAAAATTCTGAATTGTATGCTCTGATTTTGAATTATATTCAGAGGGAAATGAAAAATTACATGAAGGGATCCGCCAACTGATGCTTATTGATTTTCTTCTTGTTTCCATTATCTAGAGCTGATGGAGAACAGGATATTGGAAACTTGAGTCCATCGATTGCTGAAGGAGTTGCTGATATGCCTCCTGGATGTAGGTGACAAAGCTTTCACTATTCCATCTAAATCTATAGAAAAGCTTACATGTTTCTTGATTACAGATGATAGTGGCCTTGGAGGAGGGGATGCATCCTCCGAGGGGGACAGTGCTTCCACAGCTGTGGTGGGAGATGATGACTCAAGGGATGAAGAAGATGAAGCTGGAGAAGCTCATCTTCATGATGATGATGATGTTAATGATGGAGCTGATGATGACTTTGGGCCGGGGCCGAGTGGTAGAGGCAGTCGAGCCCGACACGCTAGCACTTCCACTCGTGCCTCCTCTGCTCCTCCATCGATCTCCTCTGTGTTTGCTCCATCCCCCTTCTACTTGTCTTCATCCAACAGGTAAGTCTATACCACTTGTATGGTGTATTTCATGAGTGACACTGGCATTCTGAATCAAATATATAATACTTATCCTAATTGGTATGTGCAGGTGGGTTTTTCATACCAGATGTTGAAAGTCTGTTTTCTATCATTCGTTCCTTCTAATTTTCTCTAAGCTGAAAATTAATTGTGGATGTTACAGCATGTATGTGACACAGGTTTGATAAGAGATTTTAATGCTATTTGAGCAGAAATAATTTCATTTGTCTTTCATTTAAATAACAATGGTCAAAGGAGAGGGGAAAAATCAAAACCAATGAACCAACCAGCCAATTAATAATGAGAAATCTGATAACTTTGTTTAGTATCTAAATAAGGACTTCTTAAATTTTATTGAGCACTCATACATGCATGAATTTGTACATGTTCATACTTGAACATACGTAAGAGAAATTTACACCTCGAACATCTTTTCCAGTTCAATGAGTCATTCTTCACTCAGTATTGGATCATCTGAGGTGGGTCCATCTCACTCTGTGTCATCTCCCCCCAGTCCCGACCGTCGCTCCCAGCCTCGCTCATCTCGACGTCGTCGAATGTCTGTGTCTGATGGTGAAGACACTATTGTAATTGTGAAGAACCACATTGAGCTCTCCATTCGCCAGTCCAAACGCCGGCGCACTCAGTTCCACGAGGAAGACAATGAGGAATTCCTTTAGGGGAAAGACATTGCTCAGATTTCTCTCTTTTTCTCTCCTGTTTTGTTGTTCACTAGTCAGTGTTTCTATATATCTTTCTATCTCAGGGTTTTTCATTAATGTCATTCCCTTCATGTATGTTTAAAATGTTTTTTCCCATCTTCTGCTTTAATGAAGTGGCATTCACATTCCTTTTTGGTATTTGTAGTAATGTAGTAATGGTACATTTTTGGAAATTAGAATAGTTTCTCTTTCTGTGAATGAGATACCCTGTGTTGATTTTCTTAGTGATTTCAGTTTTTCTCCTATATGGTCATATTTTGGTATGAGCTTTGTTGAGTTGATCTCAACCAGTCTGGAAATACCGGTCATAATTTTGGTTTGACTATTTATCAATTGAAAATTTCCACTCACTGTCTCCTGGTTTTAAAAAAAAAAACAATTTTCTTCATCCAAGTTTTACTGCTTTATTGCATTCCATTGTTATGCAGTATTTTTTATAAAGCTCATTGCTAGCATCAATTTATAGTGCTGGGGCTGACAGCATGATTCTGTATGGAATTAATGAAATGCTTTGGAAGAATTGAGCAAATACTTAATAAGAATTTCATTTAGGATAATGTGGGTTTTACTTATTGTTGCAATTTGATGCATTTTTTGTGCAGTTATGGCTAAATTGCTGAATGTACTTTCAAAATTTCTGACAGTGCTTTCATAGACAGTGCCTTGGGACAATGTACTATATTAATAGATGTGCTATGGGGGAAAGGTTGAGAATGATGAAAGTTGGACTTATAACTGGAGGAATTGTGAAACAAAAATCCCTTTGGAATCCAATCCAATTGGAAGTCAGGAGGTGAATTTGATTCTGGCACTGTCTGAATGGCTGCTGTCTGCCTACTGCCATGGCACTCCTGAAACAGCAACTTGACATCATATAGTTGTGATTTTGATCATTGCTCAATGGGATTTGAAAAATTGCACACAAGTCAGCTGGTTTAGTGCCTTCTCTTTATTGGGATTATTTTAAATGAATGTGTCAAGATTCTTCCTTGTTACATTGAACAAATTCATCAATTCATAGCAGAACAAAATGAATTTATTAAGGAAACTTTCTTTTTCATGCCTTTTACATTAAGTTATATATTCATCATTGTATATCAAAGACCCTTGTGATCAGGACTGAGGTGGCTAGGATCTCCATTATTGTCTTTGCTCATGCAAAGTCGTTGCAATATTTGATACATGTTTACTTGTTTTCATTGATGGTGATTTCAGACAATCCTACAGTTTTATTGTCCTTCAGTCACCCTGCTTGTCAGTCTGTGTTTATCTTGCAGCTGTTCTGGCAGCTGATGGGTTTCTCTGGCAAAGACAAAGCAATACTGATTGATTGAAGGGTTGGTGATGTCTTTTTTATGATTGCTTGCATCCCTTTGTCTTTGGCATCTCATGTAAATTATTTTGCTAAGAAACTCTAAAATGTTTGCACACAGAAGTTCCATTCACTACCTGAAAGCCTTTCATGATCATGTACTGCTGTTGTCTGTGGTATGGAATTTCACATTCCTATCACTCTGGGCTGGTTGATGAATGCTGGGTTCCCCCTGATTTATCAAGTTAACTGGTTAACTTAACCTGGGATGGACCAGGATTGCACAAATTGCTAGCTGCAGAGAGCATTTTTTTCAACCTCTGACCTTAGAGTCATGCATTTATATCAGACAAAACTGAAAGGTTAGTCAGGGATAGCTCCTTTCACCGATCTGCCCCGTCAGGTCTGACTTCCTCCTCTTTGAGAGTCTCTTAAACATGGTCTGACCTGTTAGGATGTGACTTCCCCCTATGTGCCAAAATATTCTGTCTTTGAGCACCTTGTTAAGACTTTAGCATTTTTTATGTATTCATCGCCATCTGACTTGATGGTCCTCGTTTGAGGAGTTACCAAGCAAGAGACATGTTGACAAAGACTAGAATGATAATAAAAAACTGGTTGCACCTTCGTTTTGTTGACTGACTGCCATTGTTTGGCTATATATGTTGTGCACCTGTCACTTAAAGAAATGAAGGGAAGAGTAGCCCCATCCTGGAGTCCATGGAAGGTGAGAACAATCGTGAGATAACGTTCGCATCATGGTAGGAAGAAAGCAAGAGAGACATATTCCCCTCCAATAGAACAAGAGTCAAAGTAGTCAGGAGAGAGAAGTGTTGGAATGCTGAGGAATGATATAGACGTCAATAGACATTAATAGTCGTGGTATGGGAGAGAGACATCCATCTGAGTCAGGAAAATTCGATACATAGCAAACGCAAACGCTAAAGGGATCGTGATTACCAGAGGGGCGGCATAACGAGAAGTGAAGGACATGAAGCAATATCCTTAGTGAAGGGACTCAGTTCACAACTGGACGTGTGCAGGTAAGCGTTAAGCACTATGAAACTAGAGCTGCGCTATCATTTTTTTGGTTCTCATTGCTGAATGGTGTGATATTCTTGTCAGTTTTCAAAGTGAAGGCGTCAGTTTATCCGAATAGCTGGAGTTCTCCAAGCATTTCTGCGCTGAGAGGGAATTGACCATGCAGCATACGAAGTGACAGTCAATGGAACTTATTTTGCAGGTTTTCAGTGGGGTAGGTTGGCCTGGATTGCCGCCATTTTTAATCGTGTTGTCCTCATTATTGATATATTTCTATTAATACATCCCTAGGTTCAATTCAAAATGTCTATTGGTCGAATGCCAATGTGCGTTTGTTGCTAGGGGTGCATCGGGAGTTGAAACCAGTGGCGTAGCGAGGGGGGGGGGGCTGGGAGGGGCTTCAGCCCCCCCCCCCCCCCCCTGGGGGGGGGGGGGGTGGGGGGGGGCTTCCGCCCCCCCCCCCCCCCAAGTTTGGTTCAAGCCCCCCCCAACTCTGGTCGGAATGCGTCCGCCCCACCCCGACGATGAGAAGTTAGCCCCTCCCCCATTGACGAAAACTTGGCTACGCCACTGGTTGAAACACCACTGAGCGATTCTCGGAATGAGCATCGCGATGGCGTTGTACTAGGTTGCGCAGTTACTTAGTCAGTGTGCGTCGCAACGTACTCTGCGGATGCACATTGTTGACGGGATCTCGGGCGAATCTTTGTGCTGTAGAGAAGAAAACTGAATTCAATATGTCTTCAAGATCTTACCATTACTAGATCCTTTGGCCGTTTCATAGAGAAAACTTCCTCCATATTATAAAAAGTGGCTATGGAAAATATCTCCAGAGTTTTCAGAGCAAAATGATTACTTTCACCTTCTTTACTGATTGTCATTGCGTTTTCTCTCTTCCAGATGAAGTACAGTAGCGTTTTTTTTTGCATCTGTATTGTAAGGATTTTGTTGGCGTTCCAACTACTTCAATTGCTGTAGCGCTTTCCTCTCATTCAGTCAACAATAGTTTGAATGAACTCCTTACATTAAACTAAGTATATATTGAATTTTATGAAGTCATAAAAGAAATTTCCCATCAATATTTTATGCTGAAGCCGGGTAAAGATGAGAGAAAAAAGGAATTTAAAATCTCTCATGCACGTGATCGCGCGCTGAGAATCCGGTGAGTCGAACGTGCCCGCCTCAAGGCTTCCCGTGTTCTTCTCAGTGTGATATGGCGGCTGAGAAGCATGAACGACAGCAACGTCGGTGGTATTTTACCAAGGAAGAACTGGAGCAAACGCCCAGCCGGAAATGTGGAATAGATGCCGATAAAGAGCTGTCTTACAGGCACCAGGCCGCTAACTTCATACAAGACATTGGTCAGCGGCTGAATGTGTATCCTTTTTTCAAACGCAACTTGTGTAGGCGAAAGGTCTGACTTCTGGAATTCTTCTCTAAAATATAAGTCTAGTGCTTATCTCGGCACTCTAAAGGGCTTCTTTTCGTGTGTATGAACATTCAGTACTGCATTCGCACAGTTTGTCGATGGCCAATCTATGTGTGCGGTATGTTTCGTAAAGCCGGAAGGTTTTACGACATACTCAAAACGTGCAATTGTTTTTACCGAGAGACCTACAATACATCATTAGTTAGGCTTACGTAGGCCTATGCATAACCCTATTTTGGACCTTGAGTTATCTTGTATTGTTAGGCATTGACTTCACCAAAACCTTACCTACCAACTGTATTTTTGCAGGCCTGTAGTTTGAGCATTGCAATTTATGGTCTCATTCGCTCTCTTCCATGCTATTCACCTGACATTCATGTCCCACTTTGTATCCCAGACAGTCCTGCTTTCTTCTTTTGGGTCACTGCTCCCATGAGGCCCCTTTTATTTATATTCAACAACTGTCATGCCTAGCGCTGGTAGCAGTTCATTGCCCTCTAGTGGGAGCACAGGTATCAATATGTTACAATATCACACCCCCTTCTGCTTGGTGTTTCATGACTCAGTACAATGTTAGTGTCATGGCATCAAAAACCCATTTTTCCCAAGAACCCATTGTGTGTTCATAGTAACTCAGAAATCCTCCATAAGAAACTTCATCACCAAGTCATGTTTAGAAGTTGGTAGATTTCAGATGGTGATTGAACCAGGAGAAAGTAGAATTTCTTTGTCACCTTGAAATGCTTACATATAAATGATGTTTGCTTAAGATTATAATGGTTCAAGTTTTTATTTGCATTAGTGTTTATTTTTGCATTGTCAGCATATATGTTAAATCTTCAAAGCATGTCAATAAGGAGTGAACATATGTAGCATAATGTTCATTGCCGAAAATTTCTCCAAATTCATTACATCTGGAGGAAAACTTCCTCCTTATTGTTGCTGCAGTTTTGGTTCTGCATCATTTGCCAGCATATAATGAAATTAATTTGGAACTTGTGTTCTGACCTTATTGCACTGTTATGGAAATGATGCATATGGTTCAGGTGTGCAAGTCTTTTGCTTGTTCAAGTTAACTAACAATCCATACAACTTGGTGAGGTATCTCAGGCTCAATAGGATGATGGCAGATAATTATGTGGCTACCTTGGCAGTAAATGTTTACCAATGTGTCAATTTAGACCTGAAACCTAACCTTTCACTTCCTATTGAGTCTGGCATAGACCTATGCCTAAAACAAATTGAATGGAAATTATTGCCAAACTTATCTCCTTCCTGATATTTTAAGTTGTGAGCAATCAGTTAGCCAGCATTTTTTCAGCCAAGGTCAAATGGCCCCTGAGATGTTCCTCAATATATTTTGGGAGCATTTGTATAATGACCAGAAAGACAGAAAGACCATTATCTAAACTACACAATCTCGTTACTAGATTGTTGTAATGTTGAAATTGAGCAAACCTATTTCTTATAAATTTTTTCTGTCATGATGGAAAAAAAAATTCAATTCACAAATGACCCCCTAGAACCCAAGCCTGATAGATGCAAACAGCAATGTATGATCAGGGCTTGTGCTAATTTTCTTGCCTTAAGGGTCCTCAGGACCCTTAAGGGTCTTATAAGAAAGGGTCACTCAGAAAAATTTGGGAGTCCCATCGCTATTGAAGCATGATGAAATCTTGCAAATTTGCACAAAAGGTTTCAAATCCCACAGTCAATGTTTTTTCTTTGATTTAACATGGCCAAAAGCATGATATTCAATCCATCAGCTTTAGGACTTCTTCCAACATTTTCTCTTTAACAAATATCCCTAGGGCATCTTCAAATTTTCAAATTACAAACTTCACATGCTGAGTAGGGATTTTTCTTATTTGCATTTGAGCAGAAATCACAGGAAGCTCTTCCATCTCTATAGGAAAGCCAGGAATACATTTTGACCCACGCCTTTTTCCAATTTAAAAATCTTTTTTCCTTCGTTGTAATTCATGGTTCACAAGCTGCCCATTTTTATAATTGCCCGCGTCCATCTCTTTCCCTTCGGTTTGTCTAGGCCCATGTTCAGGAACATCTGAACGCATGCCGACGTGTGATTAGAATAAACTAACATAATACATTTTCCGCTTGTAACTGAACGAGAGGAGTGTTGACCGCCCTGAAGTCTAAATTGAAACGAACAGAAATATGTCATGAACGCGCGAACACAATGCATCATGCGCCACTCTCATCACTTTCACGTCGTGCACCTTCCTCGGCAAGGACTCTTCCCCCTCCCCCATCCTGTCACTAATAAGGTTGTGCGCAGATCTATTTAGGCACGGTTCTAAGAGGCAACTGCCAACTGGTCTGTAAACCAGTCAGAAAATCTAGAACTTTCCCTGGGACCCCGATGTTTTTCTGTTGTGCATCCCTTCAGAATTTTGTGTGTATAGGACGCTCATCTGCGTGCATAAACGCAAGCCCTGATGATAACTTTATGCTATAAATGAACTATTTATGGCAGGTAGGCATTTCTATTGGCTGGTTAGTATGTTAAAATATGCTTTATTGTGAGTTGATCCTTAACATGATTAAACAGAGCACAGCTGTGCATCAACACTGCTATTGTTTACATGCACCGTTTCTACATGTTTCATTCATTCAGCAAGTTTCATCGGAACTCCATTGCCTCTTGTTCATTGTTTCTGGCTGCCAAAGTTGAGGAGCAGCCTCGAAAACTTGAACATGTGATTAGAGTATCTTACATGTGTTGGAATGCTGGCAAACCAAATATTGCTCCCTTGGACACCAAGTCTGAAGTGAGGCTCATGATTGGTTGTGCAATTGATATTCCCTATTTTCTCTTGCAAATACATTTATTTCATCTCAATTGCAGTATTTCTTGGAGCTTGTTCAGGAGTTAATTATGAATGAGAATATCATGCTTCAGACCCTTGGATTCGACTTGGCTGTCGACCACCCTCACACCCACGTTGTCCATGGGTGCACACTTATCAATGGTGAGTTGAGGCAGATAATTAGAGTACAAATAGAATGCAGTGGGACAGAGTTGAGGAATGTTTTCCTCTCTATTTAGCAAGCAAGTCCTTGTGTCAGACTTCGTATTACATGGCAACAAACAGGTACGTGAGTGCCACTGGCTTCTCGGGTGCATGCAATCCCATTCAGCCAGTCACTCATGGTACATTGATTCTGTTGTTCCAGCCTTCATCTGACAACCATGTGCCTCATGTACAAGCCGTCAGTCATTGCCTGTGTCTGCATTTTTCTTTCTTCCAAGTGGGACAGTTGGGAGGTGAGCACAAGAGCCAACAACACTTTATGTAAATTCTAAAGTTGAAGTTGGAAGGTACCAACTTCCATAGTCACACTGATCATTTTGTTGACCTTGTCACAACTTCATTGCCAACTAATTCATGGAAAATAATGATTTTGTGCATACCATCTGTCCATGTTATGGTTGCTCATTTATTTTTTTCATTTATATTCCACTAGATTCCCAAGTCAGCCGAAGGAAAGGAATGGTATTGGTATGTTGATAAGACTGTGACTGAAGAGCTGATCAAAGAGCTCACCAAAGAATTCCTCAATGTTCTTCAGAAGTTTCCTTCCAAATTGAAGCGAAAGATCCAGAGTCTTGAGGATTCTAGTTTGTGTGTTTCTTCGGGGCAGGGAATACCCTCCATGCCTGAACCCCTGAGTTTCAGTACAAAACGGATGTCCCCTGTCCCCACCCAGAAACGGCCAATCCCCTCCAGCACATCTAGCTCATCAGTGATTGGGAATCGGTCACAAGAAACAAAACCCCGTGGTCTTCCTGTTGCGGGTTTGTTGTATTCTGATTCTTTCATGTTCCTTAGCCTGTCAGGTTTTTTCTTTGTACAAAGAGTTGCTTTTTTATGTTTGTGCTACAGGAAGAAAAAGTGGTGAGTCCTCAACATAATTATAGTCTCAAATGTAGGAAAAGGGATATGTCTACTTATACTTTTACTTTTGCAATCAATAATAAATTCATTCCAAAGAGGGTGAAAAGAATCGGGGGGGGGGGGGGGCAGTGGCTTTTACCTGCTTTTCACAATGTCATAAAGACTCATAATTTTACTCTGACCATTTGAACTTCTAGATAAGGGAGGGGTAGAGAGAGCTGAGTGAATGGGAAATCTGTTTTATCACCATTATTGCCTATTTCTCAGGCAATGAACCTTATAAATATCACATTACACTATGACATGATGTCAATTCTGCATGCCTTAAATATTGGTTTTGATATTGAAATTTTGTTAGATCAATATATTTTTGGAAGGGGTAATGATTGCAGATATTGTCTTTTCATCATTAGGCACTATGATGTGAAAGATCAGAAATTTGGAAGTTGCAAGAGTATGTTTGTATCAGTCATTCAACCAAATTCCCAAGACTTCAAAATGAGAGGACCAGGTTTCTGAGGAATTATATACTGATTTTTGTGAAAGAAGAGAAAAATAGGGAGTGAAACAATAGGAACTTAATATCCAAGCTTAAAAAATTTAGGTTCATAAGATGATATGAACTCTGTAGAACTTGCATGGAGTGTCAAAATGCTATGTTATTTAGAAACAAATAGTGTTTTGGAAATAAAGACACTTTCAGGCATATTGGATTTGTGTGTTGCAGGCGTTCATAAGCTGAAGGTAACTAATATGCTCCCTCATCTTTTAGGTCCAAGTCATGCCAAGCCAGAGGTCCTACGTCCAGGAATGCCTATCCCAGCTGGTGGTCATCGACCTAAGCCCAAGGACAAAGTAGCTACAGCGGACTACCTGGCCAAAATGTGGAACCTCAACAGCACAAGTGTGATGGGGACACTAGGAAAGCCCCAAGCAGAGAATCGACCATCTAGCTCCCATCATCAGCAGCACATGTCTCATCACCGTCCACCTGATGTAAAATCCAAGTCCGAAGTGGACCTGAAGTTGGAACAGGAGATCAAGGGTGTGGTGCGTGAAGTGTCAGACAAGAAAACAGAGCCTCGTTCATATCTTGTTGCACCCAATTTGGTCAAGGTATCTGAAGATAATCCAACTCGAACATCAACTAAACCTGAACCAAGCAAAGTGAGACCCTCGAACTCTGTGAAGCCAGTGGAGTCGATGCCGTACATGAAACCACATCTGCCTCAGCATAGTGACTTGCCACAGCGCCCTCCAAATGCTCAAGAAGCAAAAGTGCAGCAAGTAGATAATCAAGAACTGGGGAAGAAGCATTCCCATCCTCATCCTCATCATCATCATCATCATCGACACCATCACCATCACAAGCCTAAGAGCAGAGAGAACACTGTTATAAATGGTGTGCCATCTATGAAGCCTGCAGAGAGTGTATCAGGATTTGTGCCAGATGTGAAACGGACTCCCATCATCCCAAAAGAGCCTGGGGAGGTTAATGACATTTCTCTTATGAAAGTGAAACCTTGTTCTCCATTGTCTCCAATTCTCTCCCCAATCACATTTGGGGACAAACCACTAACTCCTGAGCAGAAGCCAGTGAAGGCTGCTGGAGATGGTCAAAGTCAGCCATCTGCAGCCAATGGGATGGCATCTGGAAAGTCTTTCATACCCATTACACCCAGAAAGATTCCCTTGTCACAGCCTTCATTGATTGAATGCTCACCCTCATCAGTGATGAAACCCCCTTCTATTTTCAGCCCACCAAAGGTCTCTCAGAGGCCTAGGACAATCAGCAATAGCTCGGAGCCTGAACTCATCCCTGTTCTCCGGCGACTTGAGGATATGCCAGAGTATCAAAAGGTAACTGAAACTGGTAGTGTTAAACTTTCTCCTGAGAAACCGCTCACACCTGGTAATGATTACAAGCCAGTCACACCTGGTAAGGATTACAAGCCAGTTATACCTAGGGAATTGTCACAATTTAGTGAAAAGCCTCCTGCAGTGTTACTTCCAACTACTTCAATCCCTATGAGTTCCAATTTGTTCAACTCTGCCGAGTCCATTCTTCATATTCCTTCAGTGATCCCACTTAGTGATCTGGGTGTGGGAGAGCCCACCCCATTGGTGACATCTGTGATAAAGCCAGAAAAAGACAAAGATAAATCTAAGCATGAGAAGAAAAAGAAGAAAAAAGAGAAACACAAGGAGAAGCATAAAGAGAAGCACAAGGAGAAGCATAAGAAGAAGGACAAGGAGAAAAAAGAAAAACACAAGGAGAAGAAGAAGGATCGGGACAAGGAACGGGAAGATGAAGAAGGGGCATCTAAGCTCAAGATCACAATCCAGAGGGAAAAGCTGGGGACAAGTTTAGATGACATTCCCTTGAAACTGAAGATCCCTAAAGAGCGTCTGAAGAGGTCTCCACAGTCAGAAGAGCCTACCTCCATGTTGAAGCTCAAGATTCCCCTGGTTGAAGGTGTGAAACGGAAGCTCGATAGCCCCAGTGAGGATCGCCCCTTGAAGGTCCCTCGCACCGAATTCAAGCCCATTCCTGCTGGACACGAGGGTTCCCATGCCCCTAAGGTGAGTCACCCATTTCGACATTGCCAAGAACAATGTCCGTGTCATGTACAGCAAAACTGTGTGTTAGTGCAGCAGATAGGGATCTATCAAAATGCACCTCCTCCTCGGTACATGTACTTTGATCCTCCTCGCTGGAATCAGCCTTACCCACACTTTCAGCCATACCCACATCCCAGTGTCGTACCGCAGGGGTGGTATGATCAGCCAGGAGTTTGGTATGAGGATAATCGAGTTCATAATTTGCCTGTCATTGGTGATGTTCCTTTTGGACCACTGCCTGACATGAGTGTTCCTCCCCCTCCACTTCCACAACCTGAGGAGGACAAGCCTCCTCTGCCTCCTGGTTCTCCACCAGATTCTGAGTAATGGAAATAGCTGTGGCTTGCTTGAATTGGGTTATTCTCATTCATTTAAAATGCTCATGTTCAAACTTTTCTGTGATCAGTGTGATTACTAACTGGGAGGAACCTGATACACCTTACCAGTATCTGTTAGTCTTCCGATCATTGCAAGTCTGGGTGGGTCTATTGGAGTTGGTATCTCAATGCAAAAAAGCTAATTTTCCATTTTTCATCAGTGAAAACTTGTAGTGAATATGCATTTCATTTATATTTAATAAGATTTGGACCATTCTTTGAAAAAGATAGATAAATAGATAAATGTGGAAATAAATATTTAACTGCTGCATGGTGCTTATATCAGTCTTTCTCTAGCACAGCATCCTGACATGTCAACCAGATTTTTCCCACTCAAAGAGCTTTGGTTTGACATAATTCAGTCATCCTTGGACTACCGGTGAAGATTATTCTCGACCATGACACTGAATAGGGTATCTCTCTGATTTGATAGATTGCATCTTGTGTTGAATTGGGAAGAAATGGAATTATTTGGGGTGTGGTTCTTGGGTTTGCTTACATATTTGATTTGAAATGCATTTCCAGCTTTGGTAGTTGGTACTGGTACAATGCTCCTTAACCTATTCTCTTCATTTGAGGTAGGATTCATGCCAGCCTAATGCAAGCTTGGAAATAAGCCTGTGGGAGGATTTGTGACATGGCTTTTCCAGTGGCTTAGTTTAAATGGCTTTCCCTTTGTGTCTTTTTTGCTGTAGGGGAGTAGACGTGAGTGACCTGGTGATTGGTGGCATGAATTTTGGGGTTCGTGGGCCTCAGGGAAAATTTTCCTTCTCCCACAGGTAGGCTTAGCCGTAGGCTTCCCGCCCCTCTCTACTTTTCTTGTCCTCCTCCTTCTCCATCTACATCTTTTGTCTCTGTCCCTATGGTCACAGAACACACTGACCACTGTGTTGTGTCTTATTTGATTATTTATTCATTCATTTTTGTACCCGTTTCTCCTTGTTATGTTCTGTCAGTTGATGATTGTCCTGTACATGTGTTTCAGCGTGACTATTTTCCAGTGGGCATGCCATTCATTTGAGCTGCATACTTGTCATCAGGCCTAGGAGCCTACATTGCTGAAAATCCAAAAAAAAAAGAAATTTGAAGTTTTTTTTGTATGCAGTGGTTTAGCATTTTTTCAGTTCTATGGAAATGAGCAACAATAAAAAAAAAGTATTTGGAATTTTGGATACAGTAAATATAGCCAATGGGATCTGGTTTTTTTTGGGTCTGTATTTTTTTTTTGTTGTTGGCCAGATTGAAGTGCAGCTAGGATGGTTTGAAGACATTTCTGGCCTTATGAAGGAACTTGCCCTTGTTGAGAGCAATGTTTGCCCAGGTCTCTTAATGGAACATGAGTTTCTACCATGAATTCAATGTGATATTCTCATTCTTGCTTGAATCCATTTGATTTTGTTTTCCCGCTGTTTTTTGGGATTGTGTCTGATGCAAACATATTAGTTTCACTTATCCTGGTGGTTCCACCCATGAACACATGAATCTGGTTTCATGGAAAAGTAGCATCAATTTTTGATACTCTACCTGAAAGCAAATACATCTTGTTAATGCTGATTTGCTAAGGATTTTCACTTAATACTCTTGCCCTGAATGAAGCCTCACTAAGAGGAAGAGTTCTTGCCCCTGACAAGAACTTCTCTGGTCATTCAGAGGTTTTTCCTCACCCATCATGAAAACCTTTGACAGTCAAAATGAAGTTTGCAGTATCAAAGCAGGAAGTCCCAGGCAAATTTTTTTTTTTTAGACCATTCTGTTTGTTCTGCATGTCAAGTGAAATTTTTAGGTAGTGTCATCAAAGGAAGATGACATCTGTGCAGGCCAAAGTGGCCCGCACCACTTGGGAGATTTCCAATAACATAGAGTCTGTTCAGAATGTAGACGACATCTACCGCTATGACCGGAATCAGCAGCAGGATATCTTGGCTGCAAGACCCTGGGAGAAAGAGTGAGAACTTTCGAACTTCTGAGGGAAAAAGTCTATATAAGGCTGCTTTCATTTATTGTCTTGGCATTGTGTTTTTTCTATTGCAGTCCCCATTTTTTCAAAGACATTAAAATCAGTGCCCTGGCCCTGTTGAAGATGGTCATGCATGCACGATCTGGGGGACCTCTTGAGGTAAGTTGGAAATTATTAAGTTAAATGTGTTATATGAGAGCAATGATGACCTTTAATTTGTGCAGGTTATGGGCTTGCTCCTTGGGAAAGTGGATGGAAACACAATGATAGTGATGGACTCATTTGCACTTCCAGTAGAGGGCACTGAGACCAGGGTCAATGCTCAAGCCCAGGCATATGAATACATGACTGCATACATTGAGGCAGCAAAGCAGGTTCAGTTCCCCATAGTGTCCACCTAGTTTGATTAAGAGGGTTGGAAACCATATTTTCCCAACTTTGAAGATAACCTTGGCATGACCTTGTATCCCTCAAAAGTCTCGTTTCTTTTCCAGTAATAAATTTCTGGACTTCAGGTGCCTCTGTTGACATTTGATCAACATGTCTTTGTGTTTTCTAAACATTATTTGTTGATTTTTCTCTTGTAATGTCTGAAAGAACCTCCCATTCTGTAAGATATTTTTTATTTATGTACTAGTACTCATTAGCCTTCTGATGCAGATTAAGCTGCTTTTATGTCTGTTAATACTCTGGGCTCCTGTCCCATCAGCATCTTAGTAAAAGAGCAGAGAAGGTTGAATTGAAACTGAAATATTAATATATTTATAAAATTTCCTATTTACCCATCAAAAGAGGTCACATCAGCCTAGTCTTGGCATTTCTTCTTATCTGTTGGAGCACTTGCATGGCTTACTGAGATGTATGTTTGCCACCTTTCCTTGATACCTCAAGGTAACAATGCTCTCTGTGCAGGTTGGGAGATTGGAGAATGCTATTGGTTGGTATCACAGTCACCCTGGTTATGGTTGCTGGCTGTCAGGAATTGATGTCTCAACACAGATGATGAATCAGTCCTTCCAGGAACCCTTTGTTGCAATTGTTGTAGATCCTGTTCGTACCATTTCTAGTGGGAAGGTTAACCTTGGTGCTTTTCGCACCTATCCCAAAGTGAGATGCTATCCATTACCAAGTTACTTGGCTTGTTCTTCCATGGTACCTGTAAGTCATGTCTAATTCTCATGTGGTTGCTTCAGGGCTTCAAACCACCTGAGGAAGGGCCAGCTGAGTATCAGACAATACCTTTGAACAAGGTGGAGGACTTTGGGGTCCACTGCAAGCAATATTATGCCTTGGAAGTATCATACTTCAAGTCTGCCCTTGACCGCCGCCTCCTTGATTCCTTGTGGAACAAGTATTGGGTTAACACCCTCAGTTCATCCAGCATCATCACAGTATGTTTCTCTCTCCTCCCCCCCTCTAAATATTGCAAAATTTGGCATAGATCAATAGCACATTCATCTCTCTTTGTGAGATAAGGAATATAGAGGTTATGAGTTGGAAAGTATTGTGACTGTTGGATAGAAATGATTGGAGGTGCATGTGGACTTAGGACAACTTGTTTTACGACAATCATGGTGTTGAACTGAGTCTTTGATGAGCTTGTGTATGATGTGAGTAATAACTTAGGGATGGCAGCTGCCAATTGGAGCTGGAAGTAGGTACTAAACATATTTTTGTGATGGTGCTTAGGTCTTGGTCATAATGCACAGCAGGTGCTGGGAGTGATGGAGTGAGCCATCAATTCAAATATCAACATGAATGGATGCCATTTATGCAGATGAAGTGACATAAAGCTTTATCTGATTCATAATTGTGTAGGCCTTGAAGAGTAACACTGCTAGTTTTTGAGATTCCTTGAAGCAGAACTCAGGAAGTGGTGCAAAAGAGCTAGGGGAAAACATTTGCAATTCTGATACAAGTGCTCAGCTTCAGGTAGTACAGCTTATGTTAAACCTGAATGTGCAGGTTGAATCTTGATGGAGTGATTCATTGACAATACATATAGCCATTGAGACTGGTTTGGATAGAGTAGCTAGTCCAATCGTTGTGTCCATTCTTTCCCGTGGCATATTGTTTTACCATCTCCGATGATTGCACGGAGTCAGGCATTCTACTGTAACTGGGCTGGTTACACTGTTGCTCATCCTGATCTTTGGTAGACTTAATACAAAATGCTTTTCCTGTTTTTTTCTGCAGCATTGGAACAATAGTAAAGTTTGAAGTTATGCACTTGTGGCTCCATTAAATTAAGCACTCTCTCCATCCTTCTAGAATGCAGACTACACAACAGGGCAGGTGGTGGACCTGTCTGACAAGCTGGAGCAGGCAGAGAACCAGCTGGGACGCGGATCTTTCGTCTTTCCTAGCATGGATCCATATGAGAAGAAATCTGAGGACAAGTTGCCCAAAGCTGCCAAGGATGCTTGCAAGACCACTGTTGAGGTCCTTCATGGCCTTATGTCTCAAATAATCAAGGACCGATTATTCAACCAGGTCCAGATGTGCAAGCCCCAACCTCCTCTCAAGTGATTTCTCATTTTTCTGTGATATTTTGATTTCTGATTGTGTCTTGGTTCTGTATAAATCTTAGCCTTCCTTCCAAGCAACAGTGTTCAATCTTCTGCCAGTCTGGTGTGAATGTGTACTTCAATTATTTTGTGCTGCCCAACACATGGGGTGATATCCCATGCCCTCTGCTTAGCAGGGGGGTTTTGTTGGTTCCATCCCCAACTTTTTGGCTTATTATTTGGGTTTCATTATCTTGCCTAGTTGATCTGAACAGTTGTCTGGTATCTGTAACAGTTCATTCAAGGCTCCATTCATATGTGATTCAATTTAAATTAGAATCATTCTATTCATTAATGCAATACATCAAGAGCTGGTTTAGTTTACACCAGTACTTCATTTTAGGCAAGTAATACTGTAGGTCACTGGCAGAACGATTTTCAGGAGAGTGAATTTTAATTCAAGAGATGCTTTTGGAAGATGTGACCTTATCAGATATGGATGAAATATAGCTCAACTCTTTTGCTGTGGTGGTTGACTTTTTTAACACAGCAGCTAGTCCTCCCTAACCCATATTGCATCTACTATGTAATGAAAGAGTTAAGCTGGGCCATGGTCCAGTATTTTGAATTGAAAGTGTTGCTACAAAATTCACAAGTACCCCCAGAGGCATGGGTGTTTGGATTTTCATGATTCTTTACATTACAATCTTCTCTGCAACTTGTCTTCTCAGGTAGATATTAGTTGAGCTTGCACTCAAAAGCAATGGAGGGGAAGTTTATGGATGTGAGTGCAATGCACCGTTACGTCTCCCCTGTGAACCCCCTGATTTACCCACACCTGACTGTGGTCCTGCTCTGCATTGGCCTTTTCCTCATGGCGTGGTTTTTCGTCTACGAAGTCACGGCCAACAAGTACACCAGGGATCTGAAGAAGGAGCTCTCACTCAGCTTGGTTGCTTCCCTCTTCCTTGGTTTTGGGGTCCTCTTTCTTCTCCTGTGGGTTGGGATCTACGTGTGACACCTCCACCAAATTTGGCATTCCTTTCTCCTATCTGGGATATTTATGTTATTGATATGTGATGCCCACAGATTAAAGTTGAGGTTTGGATTTTATCACTTAAGCGAGAATTTAAATCTGTCTGACAAAGTCAGTTGGTCTGAGTGAAAGGATGGGTGAGTGGAAGGAAGCCACTACATGGGATATTTCTTTCCCATGCACCATGCAATAATGATTCATATGCCTAGCAGCGTTATCAACCTTTTGTTTCTTTTCAGTACTACAATCATCAGATCACATTTTGGAGAGTCTTATCTATGAACTGTGCATATTTACTGCTGCAGTATCTAGGAATTGTCTGCTCATCATGTCTGGCTCTTAATTTTTGAGAGCCAACTACAATATTTTCAGCTGTGTCTCATGAAGATATTTTCCCTCAAAGAAAAGGACCTGCAAGTTCATGATTTAGATGATGAATTATTCCTCTTATTTGTTTTACAATACCTTTTGTGTAATAATTTCTCTCAGACGTCAGTTTCTTTTCGGACTTCGTTATTGAAAATATGGATACAGATGTTGCCTACAGGTGCTGATATCCTTGCATGCTCATTTTCCTGAGACAACTCCGGTCCTTCCTCACAATGCTATCAGTCCCTGCAGCAGAACGCAATCGACAACCAATCCTAGAAGTGCTACAGCAAGTCCTGCCTAATGACAAATCCCTCTTTGCCCTTGAAATTGCTAGTGGAAGTGGTCAGCACCTGGTTCACTTTGCCCCGCACTTCCCTCATGTAACGTGGCAGCCATCAGATATTGAACAGTCGTATCTCAAAAGCATCAATGCTTACCAAAAGCATTCAAACTTGGTGAATATCCTTCAACCTGTTCGAATTGATGTCTCCAAGTCACCAGTTGAATGGGCTGTGAGAATAGAACCTAACACAATTGATGTCATTCTCAACATCAACATGATCCATATCACTCCTTGGTATTGCACTGAAGGACTGTTCATTGCTGCCGGATTTCTCTTATGCCCTCAGGGCATCCTGGTGACATATGGCCCATATGCAGTCAAAGGGCATCTTGAACCAGAAAGCAATGTTCGATTTGACTTGAACTTGAAGCGTGAGAATCCAGAGTATGGGGTTCGGGACACTGTGGACTTGGAGAGACTTGGGGCGCTCCATGGTATCACTTTGGAAAAGGTTTTTGATATGCCATCAAATAATAAGACACTAATCTGGAGAAAACAATGATTGCCTATCTCCAGTTCTCTTCATGGTGTATCATCCCCCTCATTCCAAACTCCATTGATGGTGTAAAGTAATGAGATACATGGTAAAAGTACTGCCATGTCTTCTTTTTACTTTTTCCTGCATGCACACATTGTGATGTATGTTTGTCTGTCACATACATTATAATGGATGTTTGTCTCACACTTGTATGGAGTTGAAGATTCAAGTGTAAAATCCTTAATTATCAAGAGTACCAGTTGTACATTGTACTAAAACACTGTGTTTCCTTCCTTTCTATTTTCCCTAAGCTATGTTGAAAACATGCCTCATGGAGTGTTGTGCCTAGACTTATGGACATAACACTAGAAAATTTTAGGTTTGCAACTTAGAATGTATTCTGTGCATTAACTAAAAGGGTTAAAACAGCAAAATAATTGTGAATTCTCTGGATATTATTTTGCATCATTGTTGATAATACAGTGGCACAAACTTGAGAGTGACCATGGTCATGAACTATGACCTAACCCTCTTCCAAGGGTTCTCTGGCCCAGTTTGCATTTACTTATACTTATCGCAGTTCTTTTCTTGCTGCTCCCACTGGAGAAGGAGGATATCAGGATGCATAATAGTTTTCAGAATGAAGGCAAAGGGGAAAAGGAAGAGGAAATCATCATTTGCATCATCACTGAAGAAGACTGATCCAGAGTTCCATTCCTTTCTCAAAGACAATGACAAAGAACTCCTTGACTTTGAAGACTTTTCAGCCACAGACTCTGATGATGAAGACCAGAATGAAGGCCCCCCATCCTACAAAAAGTCCAAAGTCTGTTCTTACTTTTAAGTACCTGAAGTGTGACTCAGTTTTGAAGATTTATAATTGAATCTTGGCTTGTCATGCAGGTGAACCAGAAAAACTTGGACAAGGAAGATGATGATGAGGACGAGAGTGATAGTGAGAATGAGGCTGATGATGTTGATGTGGAGGATGATGATGCTGAAGAGGAGGGATTGGGAGGTGGAACAATTACAGCACAATTAGTTCAGACCTGGGCCCAGGAATTGCAATCTCAGTGAGTTCTCTGTCTCTACATTTCTCAATTTTATTTTAAAAATGTGAAGACTTTGCATACAAATGTATGTCACCATAATGCTTCTTTTGTATGCAGTGGTCTCGTCTCTGGAATTAACTGCTTTGGATCATGATTTCCCTATCATGGTCAATCATAAGCAGCATTGAGTGTCAATTTATATAAAAATCTACTTAAAGGAATGTATTTTCTTTTTTAGGATAAGGTATGAAATTTATCAATAATTATTTTTTTTATTATAATTTTTTCCATGTTTTCTGCCAGAAAGCAAATGGAATGCAACTGTAAGAGTGTTTTTTTTATTAATAAAAATGTAAATAGTTAGCAAAATAATTGTTGCAATGAAAAATGCATGTTCAGTTTAAGAAATAAACTGGATGAAGGAGTAAAGTTTGTTAGGCCCATGATTATTCCAGTAAATGGTTTCCACTGTATGAATAAGCACTTTTATTGCCAAAAGGTAATTGCTAGTATTTTGGGTTTAGTGTGACCTCAGAGGTTTGGAAAGCCCTAATTTTAATACAATGTTGATATGGACAGCATTGCTTCAATGTCAGTCATTGCTGAATTCTGCAGTCCTGTACGTTATTCTTGGATTGTTTTTATTGGTGCACAAGTCCTATTTTAAATTACTGCATGATTTGAGGCTCAGTAGCTAACCTGTTGATTATTTTTGTTTTCACAAGAATTGTCTTCATTACATAGGTGCTTGAGCAATGGCAGATGTAGGTCAGGTCACAAAACATGGCACAATTTAATTAACATGATATTCTTCTTTAGTATTTACTTTTTAAGGAGATATGTTGCCTTTGCTTTGAAGAAAGTGCTTACTCTGTTTCATGGAGGTTTCTTGTGGGGTTTCGTAACCTGGTGATGGGCTTGCAAGCTGTTGAACGAACCATTGGAAGTGGCCAAGCCAAGGGACCAAAGGAAGACCAGGACAAAGATGAAGATGAGGATGGTGATGCTCCTATCAAAGCAAAATACACTATCAAGAGTGCAGCAGGTATACAGCAATTTCATTCTTTTTCTTCCTATACTTGTTCCCCTAGAAGTAATTCTAATGGTTCTTGTACAGGATATCCCAAAAGTAGTGTAGTGATTTTATTTGCATAAAACAAAAGTAGGAAAGTATACAGCAACTTTATTTTTATGGGACATTTTGCATCTGGAGATTAGATAGGCCCTACTTGTGAAAGATTGTCTTTGAAATGACTACCATGAGCATTTTTACACTGCCTCACTCGAAGCACAACACTTTGCATTACTGCCTCAAGCACATTTGGAGTTATGCCACCTATTCCAGCTTGAATATTCTCCTTAAGAGCCTCTGTTGTTCTTGGTTTATTCACATACACCCTTTCCTTTAGAAAGCCCCGTAGGAAATAATCTGGCGATGACAGATTGGGAGACCAATCATCTTCATGCCTCAATATTTGTTGCATTTGATGTAAATTTCCTGCTCTTTTATGCTCCTAATAGTAGAACTTAACAGAATTTCTACCTGCACTCTGTAGAGATCAAAATTAGAAAGCTATTTTCTTTTGAAGTAGAATACAGTAGTGTAGTATTTCTTAACTTGTTAATGGACTTGAGTAGCTGCATTGATTCTTGTACTTTAATCCATGGGTTCAGTAAGTGACTGCTTCTCTTTCTTGATGTAAGTCAGACTAGTCAGTATCCCATGTAAAAGCACAGAAAATTTAAAGGCAATGAACATGAACATGGCCATAGGGGGGGGGGTGTCACCATTCCCCCTGCTCCCTGGATCTGCCACAGGTTGGCCATGTGAGAAGGTAGTGTGCAGAAAAAACACACCTAATTTCTCGAAGGCCTGCACTTGCACTTCATTAATCTTCATGGCAAAGGCGGACAGTGAACAGATGCCAAGCAAAGAAGAAGGGCAGCCCAAAGATCAAGACATTACCTTAAATCATGACTTTGTAGGAAAGTGTGGTATGTGGGTTTTAATTGGCAGCCTCGTGCTGCTTCACAGACATTGCAACCTGCCATGCATGTTTCCGAATGTTAGTGGCCTTTGACCATGCTGCATCAACTTATGCTATGGAAATGGATATTGAACATGCAATTGTATTCTGGGTGCATGCATGCCACTGACTGCCACCACAGACCACAGTAGACTTTATTATATAGATTTCAAAGGACTGTAGGTCCTCTGACTTGTACAGCATTCTCACAGTGTCCCCAGGTGAAAAACTGATCTGATAAGCCTTGATCTATGTAGAAGTTCTCACATTTTTCTATGTCTGCAAACTTGATTTCTTAAATTGAAAATCTTCAAGAGGATAAAGGTCTTTTCATGCACTACCAATTTCCATTGTCTTTTCATGATGTGCATTTTTTACTCATTTCTTGCTAGCCTTCAATGCTGTTCTTCGTCTATGTGTGAGGGAGTTGATTCCTCATCTGAGTACACACCTGAAATTTCCCCCTGGGAAGACTATTAAAGTGTCAATGATAGCCAAAGCCAAGGGCTGGAACAGAGTGTGTCCCCTCATCCGAACCTATGCCAAGACCTACCTAAAGGTAAGATTAGCATTGAGATATATGGAAAAGAATCATGTTCTGTGTGATAATATATATATTTTTTGCTGTCTTGGAAGCAGGTGTATTAGAATTGCAATAAGAACATCATGTGAGTGTTTAGAGGATACTCATATTTAAATGTGATTATAAATGTTATATATGTCAGACTGAGAGAAGAGTCATCAAGGTTGCTGAACTGATCTCACTTGAGGCGCATATGGTGCTTCATAAGAGAAAACTTATGATATTTATGTAATGGAATGAATTCAAGACTTATTCAACTCTTCTGTCATTTTTTAATGTTTGCAAGCTAAATTGACAGTCTTGTAGAACACAGTCAAGAATGTACACAGTAGTCTTCATGATGCTATGAAAATGTGGTCCTGATATTTTAAAGTGAGATTGTACCATGTTGGAGTTTAATGAGAAACTTTTATGCTAGGGTATGCAAAATATGATGCTTTATCTTTTACATTGTTTACTTGTAAATGATAGGGATGCATTGATTCAATTAGTGAAATGTATGAGTAGAAATAATTTGTTATTGGTTCCATCACAATACACTATAAGTTCTATTCTCTATTCAGACCATTCATAAGGGACTTGCATCTTAACTTTGGGTCAGATTAGATGTATCCATGAGGCCTTTCTGATACTTGATTATGGATGAGTAACTGACCCAAAATTGATGGATTTTGTGCTAGCTGTGTGTCCTTGTTTAAATTAATTATTACATTTCCTTAAGCTCATGTAAGTGTCATGTCTGGATTGGTGCACCCCTAAGAAATAATAATGGCATTGGCATTAAGGTTTTAAGGTGTGGAACTTGAAATTAGACAGACTCTTAATTGATAAATGTTGCTCTAAAACTATCTTTGATTGGGATTCATGATGAAGAAAGAAGTTGTGCTGTTTATGAGTTAATGTTAAAAAGTATTAGCATTAGAATTGACATCTTTTCTTTTTATTTTTTCTCAAGTTTTCTTATTCAAGAGATTTCCTGCTTGCAGTTTTCTTCATTTTTCCTCTGAGCAAAATTGGAATGTGTCTGACTCAAATGCAATAGTTAGATATTAATGATAAAATGAATAGAATATTTATTTTTTCACCCAAAACCTCAGTAAACCTCAGTCCATAAAGTCTCCAACCTGGTTACATTTGTGAGAATGATTATTGTGTATTGTGAAATTTCAGCCTTATAAATTAAGGCAGTGCATATTATTTTGTTCCTTTCTTATTCATTTCCCAGCTGCTATCAAGTGGTGTGACAGCTGATATGCTGAAGGTGTTCCTGAAGCACTGTCATGAGTTGGTACCATACATAAGTGCCACTGGTCGCCGCCTTCTGGTTCGCAGGTACCTACGGACTCTCGTGCGAATCTGGTCTCGCAGTGAGGAGACCAATCGTGTCCTTGCCTTTGTTGCCATTTTTCGTCTCACTCATGGGTTCAGACCCACTCAGCCAGACATCCTCGACTTTGTCCTAAAGGTACTTATATTTGGTAAACATTCTTATGTTATGTGTTATTTGAATTCCATTTCCTGCTATTTTTGTATTGAAATTGGCTAGATTGTGGCACTTTTCTCACATGTATGAGCAGTTCAAAGCAACAAAGTATCTTATGGCCTGGATTTATGTATTTGCTGCTAACTTGTTTTTAAGTAGGGGTTTGCTGAATTTTCTTTCCCCATCTGACTCTTTATCATAGTGAAGAGACTTTGGAGACCAAATGTAAGACATTCTTGATGTCAATTCTGCCACATTTTTGATGGTTTTATTTACTAATTCTGGTTTTTTTAGTTTATGATGTAATTGTTAATGGTAGTCCTGAACTAATGACAAGGGGAGGATAGTACTTACAATAATATGTATTAGATTGAAAAAGAGGAGAGAGGAAAAACGGAAAATGTGGAAGGGTAATTGGCAGCAAGTGAAGTAGTGGATCCACTGAATATTCCTTCTCATGATGAAAGTAGCCTGCTTAGTTATATACAAGCTTGGCTTTCCATTAAATTATTCTGTTTTCTTCTTTCTCCCTCTCAAACTGCACTAGGCCTTCAAAACACTCATTCGAGCAGGCCATTATTGCCTGTTAAGGAAAATACAGTCTCTGTGGGGGATTTATTCTGCAGATGCACTTGTGTCCTTTCCCTTCCTCCTTTTTAATATATTTAAAACCACCTTTTTCTGCAAAGATCTAATTGGTTGCCTGTCACTCTCACCCAATTTGACATCACTTTATGTTTAGTGAAATTTAGGTATTGCTTCACTCCCAAAAAACCTTGTTAATAGTTTTAACTGCAGCTCTTGTGATCTATGTACCCCTGATATGTTTGCTGACTGTTCCATGTAAGGAAAAGGCAGATGAGAGGAAAAACCATGGAGTTAACACATTCTCTGCCTTTCTCTAGGTGGGCAGCCAACTACCACTTGCCAAATATTTTGTAGATATGAAGAAAACTTACAAGTTATTGCAGAAATTAATATATAACCATTTGATGTATGCATATGAAATTGTCAACATACCTTCACAATGCATGCTATATAGCATGAATGACAGTCAATGTGTTAACCTTTTCACTGCTGTTCACACCATATGGCATGTTCAGTGCGATGAACCTCCACTGCTTGGCAAGGAGAGCTTGGCTGGGCAAAATGTCCTCAGCAGTGAAAGGATTGACATAAAAATTAGTGGGGCAGTCATATTGACTGCTTGTAATTTTTAAATGCACTCTGCTTGTTTGGCAACTAAGAGCATCTGCAGTTTTTACTTTTCCTATCTAATATTGACATTTTGAACATACCAAAGAACATCTGGAAAAAACAAAATGTTACAGAATGAACATTTTTTACTTTTAATACAATGGTGAAGTTGACTGCTCTGGTAGTTCTTTGTTGAAAGTGAAGCAGCAGAATAGGGTATTTATTAAATCTTTGAGAAGGATGACTTACAAACTGAAGATCATCATGAGGACCATCTTGATCATTGTCATTCTAATGGTATGCCAGCTTCATGAGGCAGACCTGACACAACTTATTTTTATTCTCTTGTAGCAAATGTACATGTCATATGTGGGAAACAGCAAATTCACATCCCCATCCTCCTGGCCTGGGATCAATTTCATGAGACACTCATTGAATGAGTTATATGCACTGGATCCACGTCTTGCATATCGTCATGGTTTTGTGTTCATCAGGCAGCTGGCCATTCATCTTCGGGCTGCACTCATCAATCCCAAAAAGGTTCATCTTGATTCATTCCACTCCTATGATTTCTCAAGATGGGTTTAAATTCTCTGGAACTGAGCAAGTTACCATGCAGTATACTGTTTTTTGCAATCTTGTTCTATGATTCATGTTAGGGGTCGCATTCAACAAAACTTAGATGATTAGATGTCACCTCTCCCATTCTGTTAGACATACCAAAGGCCATGACATGCTTCATTTCAAATTATGCTGGTACAGAATTGACCACCCCTGGTTTACAAGCTACCTCTATGGAGTAATGGAATTTGTGGGCAACTCAGCACTACTCCCCATAAGCCACATTTCTCCCTTTGTACAATTTTTGGTCAAATATTCTTTGTCTTGAATGCCAACAATCTTGCAACATTCCTCGCCAGTGGAGTCATCATCCAGTTTGCAGATAATTTCCAGAATCTGGTGTAAGTACCACCATTGAATAATGGCAGTTGAAAGGGAAGAATGGAGACAAAATGTAAGGGAGATACAATTCTACTACCAAATAAATCACCGGAAATTGAACATCGGCAAGACACAATACCTCTGATTGGCATCTGCATCAACAGGCTGTAAGATCACCTGACCTGAAATCCAGCTTCAATCGATGGAATTCATCTGTTTGGTATCATTGGCAAAAAATCTAGGAGTTATGTTTGACCCCTCATTAATGTTGCCACCATAGCCAAGAGATGCAACTGTATTTGCAATATGCAAAATGAGAAATACATTACCCAGATCTCATGGTTCTCATAGAATTCCTTGTCTTACCTCACTTCTTGTACTGCTCATTGTTATGGGGAAATGCCAACTTATCAATGCTACAAAGGATACAAGCACTACTCAACTTCGCAATGAGACCCATCAGTGGTCTAGGGAAATAACTTGTTTCTTTAAATATTTTTTGGTGGAATTGCAATGGAACCCTATGAAAGAACAAATAAAAAAGCACCATCTGAGAGTAGTCTTCAAGGCCTACAAACAAGGAAAAGGACCTGCTTATATAAAGTCCATCTTCACTGAATGTCAGACAATCTCCAAGTAGGAAACTAGACACTCTGAAGATCTTACCTTACCTTACTGCATCACTGAATCATACAGGTTGGTTGTCCTTCAGATATAGGAGTGCTAATGCAGGGGTTGGGAACCTATGGCTCATGAACCAAAAAGTTTGGCTCATTGAGTTGTGGCTGAAAATCATGATTGTTCCTCATTTTTCTCATGTATCAAAGAATGTGTTTGTCCTCAACTTCAGGAACAAATCATGTTGTTCTGAAGATCTTTTGCTCACAAGCACTTAGCTCTCCCTTAATATGACTCACATGTCCAAAGAAGTTCCTGACCCCTTTGCTACTGCATGAAACAATTTCAGCAGTGATGAAAAATACCATTTTGACTTTTTTTCTCCTAGTGAAATCTATGCCTCTTTCACATCTACCAATATTATATCTGTTTGTTGGCTTGTGATGTGACTTTGTTTCATGTTTTTTTGGACTCTTGACTTGTCTGATGAAAAGCCATGAAATGGATTCTCACCCATAAACTAAACCAGATGTATGGAATAATAATATTTTTGTTAGTTCATGAAATGCCAACTTACATTGTTGTGCTTCCTGGAGTTCCTCCTTTTAAGTTTTCATTCATTCATTAATTTCTTCATGTAATGGATACTCTTCAGGGATTGCTTCTTCTGTTTGGGTTGACTGATAAAGCTTTGAAACATAAGCTATTCTTTAACCCTTTCAGTCCTGATGGGACTCAGAAGGTGGTAATGGTGAAGCATTTTTCATTTATTAGAAAAGGAAATATTTTCTTTTTTTCTGCTCTAGGAGACACTGACTGCAGTAACAAACTGGCAGTACATGCATTGCTTATATTTATGGGGTGAGCTGATTGGAAAGCTTCATCATGATGAATCAGTGAAGACGCTTGTTCATCCATTTGTCCAAGTACGCTCTCATCTCAGAGTCCTTCCCCCCCAGATGTCTCTCCAGTCCTGTCATTGCATTTGTGCTGCATTCATTACATTAAGCATGTGTTATGTTACTGAACATAAAGGTGGTGAAAGGGACCCTGGAAGTGACACGATCTCCCCGCTTCCTTCCTTGGAGATTCCATGCTGTCTATGTTCTCAATGAACTGTCCCTTTCCACTGGAGTTTACATCCCTGTCTCCACCCACCTGCTTGAGGTAGTCACACTGTGATATCTCTTCTTTATTTTTACGGATTCATTTTCAGCATGAACATGATAAGATCTTGTGATTCATTCAAGTAATTATTACCATTATAATAGTATATATTAGTATACATTATAATAGTACCATTCATGTAATAATTGTCTTGTGTCTACCTGTTGGCAGGTTTCTTTTGGACTGTGTATGGGATTTCGAAGGTCATGTATTTCTTTCGTTGCTTAATGATTTCTTCAGGTTTATGAACTTGTTAAGGTCAGCATTCTTAATGTTAATCACCATTTAATCATTTGATTTATTTTGTCTTGAGCATATAGCAGGATTTGTGGAAACTTTGTGGGTGGATTTTTGAACAGAGAATTATCCAATAATGTTGCTTTATTTCCTGGAAATATGTATTTTCCCTGGAATAAAATTGCATTATCAGATAGTGCTCTGTTCAAAAATCCACCCTTAATTTTTTTAATGGCTTTTGACAATTATCACAAATCCACCTTGAGCTTGGTCAAATTATGATGCTATTTCACATGAGGGAAGGAGCATTCTGAATAATTCCACTATCCATTTCCCATGCAGAATGCAATAAAGTTCAAGCAGCTTTCTGGTGCTGTGCACTGAGTGATGATGATCGCACAGCAGCTGCACATGTTTTGAAATGCTGTAGTGTTATTACTGTTATGTAATCAGCCCTTTGGTTGAATTCAGTGATCCATTATCATTGATTGGAGTTGGATGTGACTTGGAGCAGGTACTGACAATCGTGGACTTCAACAAGAAGACGGACAAAAAGGCAGGAGGAGGGGTGATGGTGCCAATCAACTGGCATTGTGTTCTCCACCTCTCCCCATCCCAGATGAAGACACGGGCATTTAGAGACGGGCTCCTCGACCAGATGCATCTTCACCTTGCCCACTGGTTGGCTATCCACTCGACAGACCCTGCCTTCCCAGAAATTGCTTTCCCTGTTTCCCATCAGGTCAGTGCAAAAGAATCTGATTATTGGCAGGTTCTTGCTTTGTATTCTCTATTCAGAGCGACGAAGTAAACTATTTGGGCATTTAGTATTCATGGAGTGGGGAAATGTTTCCTGAATCAGCTGTCACTTGCTTTCGAACAGATGAGATTGTTCCTGAAGGCATGTCGTGTCAGTACATACGGGAAGAAACTGAAAGGCCTGCTGAATGCCTCTGAGGAGTCGAGTGGTTTGGTGAAGGAAGACCGGGCCAAGGTGAAAGTGGGTGAGGGAGAAACCAGGTCATGGCAAGAATCCCCTCTGGGCAAATACTATCGACAGTGGAAGGCCGCCTCCTCGCACTCTTCCCGAGTCCTGTGATCCCTTCTCAATGAATTTTTTTCGATAGAGAATGTCTCCTTTCTTTACTCGACAAATGCAAAAGCCTTGCATCGCTTAACCCTCTTAGTGCCCAGAATATCCCTCCCTCTTTTTCACGCGAGGATCGAACGACGATATATCGTTGTTGGGCACTAATGGAGGCCAGAGCCTGCCAGGAATGAACCAAGTCACTTCTCTATAGGCTGGGACTTGGCCCTGCCGTTTCCAAAGGGAAAATGGAAATAAGTTTATGATAATGTAAATGTAAAGATAGAGTGTAACATTCTGACGCCCTACTCAACATCAATCGATTTAATTTCTTGATGGATTTCCCTTGAGAATCTATTTAATCCAGTTGATTCTTTCCCTATGCATCTCTCTTCTGACAACAAATCAGATTAAGTGATAGTGATCCGTCTGGTGCATGTCTCCCAAAATCTAATTCAGCGCCGTATCTCAAGCCTCTGTACTTATTGCCAATAGTAAAGCATTCCCTTGGGTAGGGGAAAGTGGGGCACCATGGGTCACGGGGCACCATGGGTCAGACTCTTTTTAGCTCTCCCAGCTGTTTCTCTTCGTGTCGTATGCTACATATCTTTCAGCTGAGGTGCCAAGAAAGTGCCGTCGAAAAAAGAGTAGTCCCCACCCGAAGTGCAAATTGTGTGGACGTTTATCTGGAGAAGACCCTTTTTCATTTTTGTTGGCACTGACGTCTCGATTTTTTCTAATTGTTTCTTTAGATGAATAGTCTTGATTCCTACTGGAATTGGGCTCGGGAGATCGATATTTCAATCCCTGCACGTATGAGCTACAATCTCGGCTTACTCTGGTTGAAATACTGATTTCATTTGAATGACTCCTGTTCAGGGGCGGATACGGGGGGGGGGGGGGGGG